TCTCCGAGCTGGCCAGGTTGTACACAAAACCCCAATCAACCATCGCTACTATTGTGGGCAACAAAACGGCAATCAAGGAAGCTGTTCTTGCCAAAGGTACAACTATGTTTTCAAAACTGAGATCGCAAGTGATAGAAGATGTTGAGAGACTGTTATTGGTGTGGATAAGCGAAAAACAGATAGCAGGAGATAGCATCTCTCAAGCGATCATATGTGAAAAGGCTAGGAAGTTGCATGACAATTTAATTAAAAAAATGCCAGCAACTAGTGGTGATGTGAGTGAATTTAAGGCCAGCAAAGGTTGTTTGAGAGATTTAAGAGTCGTAGTGGCATACATAAGGCATGGTGAGGCTGCCAGTTCGGACCACAAAGCGGCTAAAATATATGTGCAGGAATTCAAGGAGTACATAGACAGTGAAGGACTGAAACCTGAACAAGTGTTTAATTGTGACGAAACAGGCCTGTTTTGGAAGAAAATGCCAAGCAGGACCTACATTATTCAGGAGGAAAAGGCACTCCTAGGACAAAAGCCTATGAAAGACAGGCTTACTCTGTTGATGTGTGCCAATGCTAGTGGTGATTGCAAAGTGAAGCCTTTATTGGTGTATCACTCTGAAACTCCCAGAGTGTTCAGGAAAAACAATGTCCTCAAGGCTAATTTGTGTGTGCTGTGGAGGGCAAACAGTAAGGCATGGGTCACTAGGGACTTTTTCTATGACTGGTTACACCATGCATTTGCCCCAATGTGAAAAATTACCTCCTGGAAAATAAATTGGACCTTAAGTGCCTCCTGGTATTAGACAATGCTCCTGGTCATCCTTCAGACTTGGCAGAACGACTTTCTGTGGACATGAGCTTCATTAAGGTGAAGTTTTTGCCTCCTAATACCACTCCCCTGCAGCCCATGGACCAGCAGGTCATTGCAAACTTCACGAATCTGTACACAAAAGCTATGTTTGAAAGGTGCTTTGTAGTGACCTCAGAAACTCAATTGACTCTAAGAGAGTTTTGGAAAGATCACTTTAGCATCCACAATTGTGTAAACATTATAGGTAAGGCTTGGGAGGAAGTGACTAAGAGGACCTTGAACTCTGCTTGGAAAAAAACTGTGGCCAGAATGTGTAGACAAAAGGGATTTTGAAGGGTTTGAGGCTAACCCTGGGAATCCTATGCCAGTTGAGGAATCCATTGTGGCATTGGGGAAGTCCTTGGGGTTGGAGGTTAGTGGGGAGGATATGGAAGAGTTGGTGGAGGAGGACAATGAAGAACTAACCACTGATAAGCTGCTAGATAATCTTCAACAGCAAGAGGCCATACCTGAGGAAACTGCTTTGGAGGAGGGGATAGAGAAATTGAAGAAGTTGCCTACTTCAAAAATTAAGGAAATGTGTGCAATGTGGCTTAAAGTGCAAACCTTTTTTTACGAAAATCACCCTGACACAGCTACTGCAAGCCGTGTTGGCAACCTGTACACTGACAATGTTGTGAAACACTTTAGGAATGTCATAAAGGAATGGGAGGTACAGGCCTCTATGGACAGATATGTTGTGCGACAGAGGTCCAGTGACTCTGAAGCTGGTCCTAGTGGCATTAAAAGAAGAAGGGAAGTAACCCCAGAAAAGGACTTGCCACCTCAAGTCCTAATGGAAGGGGATTCCCCTTCTAAACACTAAGACCATCAACACTCTCCTCTCCTCCCATCCCATCAATCATCACCAGATCTTCAATAAAGGTAAGTGTCATGTAACTGTGCATGTCTTCTTCAGTTTGTGTATTAAAATTAATATTTCATGTGGTAAAAAATTTTTTTTTCAATACTTTGGGGTGTCAGGAATGGATTAATTTGATTTCCATTATTTCTTATGGGGAAAATTAACTCGACTAACGATAATTTTGATTAACGATGAGCTCTAAGGAATGGATTAACCCTTTGACTGTCGCGGCCGTATATATACGTTTGTGAGGTACCGTGTTTGACGTATATATATATGTATACTCATAAATTCTAGCGGCTTCAAATCAGGCAGGAGAAAGCTAGTAGGCCCACATGTGAGAGAATGGGTCTGTGTGGTCAGTGTGCACCACATAAAAAAAATCCTGGAGCACGCAGTGCATAATGAGAAAAAAAAAACTCCGACCGTTTTTTTTAATTAAAATGCCGACTTTGTGGTCTATTTTCGTATAGTATTTGTGGTTGTATTCTCGTTTTCATGGTCTCATTTGATAGAATGGAAACTATATTATAGAAATGGAGGTGATTTTGATTAATTTCACTATAAAAAGAACCTGGAAATGGAGCACAAAGTACAGGAAATGTTTGATTTTTGCCGATGTTCAAAAGTAAACAAATGATGTCATTGTCCAATAAATGTCCAAATAGCCATTCTAATACGCAGTCATGAATGGGTTGATGTAATTTTTACAATTATTACAGTATTGCAGTAGTCTGCATAACAGTAAATCTTCTATTTTTTGTTTGAATAAAATTTCAAAATAAAAAGCAAGAGTAATATCACAGGGACCTGGAGACATGACTGATGAACAAAGAAAATCTTATTTTAGAGCCAGGAATGTCTGCATTGTTCATTCTGGACCTTATTTTGAAATTGTATTTTTTAATTTTCGTGAAATTGGCCAAATTGCAAATTTCTGACCATGTTATTGGGTAGTTGAAATCGGTAAATGGGCAGTTTCTTGTGCTCAATCGATAGAAAAAATAGAGTTCTGAAGAAATAGTTATGAGTTTGGTTGACTGGAATAACGGAATTAGCCGAAAATAGGGCTCAAAGTGGGCGAAATTGCCGATTTTTAAATATCGCCGAAGTCGCTAACTTCGCGAGAGCGTAATTCCGTCAGTTTTCCATCAAATTTCGTTTTTTTGGTGTCTTTACAATCGGGAAAAGATTCTCTATCATTTCATAAGAAAAAATAATTTTTTTTTTTTCGAATATTTTGCGACACCAGGAGCAACTTCAGGATTGGGCCCTTCGACAGTCAAAGGGTTAATATCGTTGGTCGAGGGTCCACTGTACTGTCATACATTCCCTTCTTTGCCTCCATGGAGTATGAGAGAAGAAAATATATTCTGATATATGGGAATGGTTCTAGGTAGTAGGTTGGTAGACAGCAACCACCCAGGGAGGTACTACCGTCCTGCCAAGTGAGTGTAAAACAGAAGCCTGTGATTGTTTTACATGATGGTAGGATTACTGGTGTCTTTCTTTTTCTGTCTCATACACAAGCAAAATTTCAGGTACATCTTGCTACTTCTACTTACACTTAGGTCACACTACACATACACGTACAAGCATATATATACACATCCCTCTGGGTTTTCTTCTATTTTCTTTATAGTTCTTGTTCTTGTTTATTTCCTCTTACCTCCATGGGGAAGTGGAACAGAATTCTTCCTCTGTAAGCCATGCGTGTTGTAAGAGGTGACTAAAACGCCAGGAGCAAGGGGCTAGTAACCCCTTCTCCAGTATATATTACTATATGTAAAAGGAGAAACTTTTGTTTTTCCTTTTGAGCCACCCCGCCTCAGTGGGATAAGGCCGGTGTGTTGAAAGAAGAAAGAACTATTAAGAAAAAAAAACTCAGATGAGTGTGTATACATAAATGTGTACACTGTACATGCATGTGTACTAATTATAATTAAAAGTAGCAAAATATACCTGTTATCATGTTTGTTTATGGGAGAGAAAACAGACATCAGCACTTCTACCATCATCTTTTTTTTCTTTTTTTTCAACAAACCAGCCGTATCCCACCAAGGCAGGGTGGCCCAAAAAGAAAAACGAAAGCTTCTCTTTTTAAATTTAGTAATTTATGCAGGAGAAGGGGTTACTAGGCCCTTGCTCTCGGCATTTTAGTCACCTCTTACAACACGCATGGCTTATGGAGGAAGAATTCTGTTCCACTTCCCCATGGAGATAAGAGGAAATAAACAAGAACTAGAAGAAAATAGAAGAAAACCCAGAGGGGTATGTATATATATGCTTGTACATGTATGTGTAGTGTGACCTAAGTGTAAGTAGAAGTAGCAAGACGTACCTGAAATCTTGCATGTTTGAGAGACAGAAAAAAGATACCAGCAATCCTACCATCATGTAAAACAAATATAGGTTTCTGTCTTACACTCACTTGGCAGGACAGTAGTACCTCCCTGGGTGGTTGCTGTCTACCAGCCTATCAGGAAAGGATGGAGGGAGAGGGTAAAAGAGGTTTTGTGCTCAAGGAGCTTGGACACCAGGGTTTATGAAGGGATTCAGGGAAGCCAGTTATCCAGACTTAAGTTCTTGAGGTTGGAAGTACAATGCTTGTACTTTAAAGGAGTTTGGGATACTGGCTGTTAGGAGCGACATCTAAACTGTTGTATCTGGGCGCCCCTGTAAAAACAGTGATTATGTGTGGATAATGGTGAAAGTGTTTCCTTTTTGGGTCACCCTGCCTTGATGGAAGAAAAAGAAGAAAAAAGTTCGGGAGTGGATATGTTGGAAGTTGAGTCTACAAAAGATGAGGTGAACCATATGGAATACAAATGTCTGGAACACCTAATACTGAAAAATAGCTCAATGAAATTCCAAAACAGTAAAATAAAAGGTTTCAAAAAAGAATGAGGAAATCTGAAGAGAGACTAAGGATTAACAGACTTTTGAAAGGGTTAATAGATAAAATAAAAGGTGTGTTAACAATTCACATCAATAATTTTATGGTTAAACATGGTGAATCAAGGCAGAGAACATGTAAAACCTCATTACAGAGGACTTCCGAGATAACAGACAAAACCTGCTGGGTAAATTATAATTTGAACTCCTTTATTTTCAGTTTATTGTAAATTGTGTGTACAGTACTATATCTGATATACAGTGGAGTACTTTCATGCTTTTTCTGTAATTTTTAAAAATTATTCCAACTAAACAGACAGAAAAATCCCCCATCATTAGTTGATCACATTAAGAGTTTACTTATTGAGGAATTATATTACACTTGTTCCTCACCTGATGCTTCACCATCTGGTCATCCCAGTCGTGAGGCTTTTTAGTCTCATTTGGCTTAATACAGCGAATGTAGTGAGGTACACACTGCATGAGGGTTGTGACTAGTTCATTGGCCTGAGTTCGAATCTTAGTGCCAGCTGTGGAGGGTCTACTCTTGGTACTAGCATTAATCACATCAGGAAAAAGGCTGCGGATGAATTCATTGTTGCTCGTTTGCATGACCTGTGGGACATATTGGATTGTTTATGTTTTTTAGTTATATATAAACAAATTGCAGTATAACATTGTACAGCTTAATAAATTTATATCCACTATGAACAAGGGTGATTAATGTACTAATATAGAAGTATGAGTCTCATCCACATAATAATAATAAAGATAATTAATATGAATGTTGATAAGAAGCTATTTTTTAATAATCATCATAATATGGTACAGTAATAATAATAATAATAATAATAATATAATAATAATATAGTCGGATTTGAGTCCTGGAAATGGGAAGTACAATGCCTGCACTTTAAAGGAGGGGTTTGGGATATTGGCAGTTTGGAGGGATATGTTGTGTATCTTTATACGTATATGCTTCTAAACTGTTGTATTCTGAACACCTTTGCAAAAACAGTGATTATGTGTGAGTGTGGTGAAAGTGTTGAATGATGATGAAAGCATTTTCTTTTTGGGGATTTTCTTTCTTTTTTGGGTCACCCTGCCTTGGTGGGAGACGGCCAACTTGTTGAAAAAAAAAAAAAATAATAATAATAATAAACAATACAATATGAATGTTACTTCTTAGCATTACATTTGGAAAACAAATTTCTATACAATACTCATACCCAGTACTATTAAAAAAACAGGACAAACAAGGACAATCAATTCTAATATCAATTTTCCCCAAAAATTCTTTTTTGATAGTTGCAACAGAACTCACAGGCAAAATACCAGACACAAAAATCTCTTATCATATTCCATGTGTCTGATTCACCCTGTGTAAAAAATCAATGAGCGTAAAAGGACCTAAAGTCTGGAACACTCTGCCTGAAGATTCCCGAGTCTCTTTATCTGCCAGCCACTTTAAAGCTACTGCTAAAAAATAACTCCTTACCTTAATGTGACCCTAACAACAATTTATTATGCTGAACAATTCCTGAAACTTGGAAACCTGTCTTTCACGCAATATTGTTCCTGTTCTTGCTCCATCATTCCTTCAACTCAGGTATCATAGCAATAGAAACCAGTATGTATACATAAATGGCATTAACTCCACTACACAACCTGTTCTTGTTGAAGTCCCACAGGGTAATGTCCTTGGCCCACTTCTCTTTCTCATTTACATCAATGACCTCCCAAATACATCTAAACTTCTTAAACCCATTTTATTTGCAGATGACACTACTTTTGTCTTCTCTCGCCCAAACCCAACTATACTAACAGACACTGTAAATAATGAACTACAGTGGTATCTTGACTTACGAGTTATGAGCTGTCACTCGGTCGATTTTTTGCTTTGAGTTGAAAGCCAAAATCCAAGCTACGAGCAAGCTATAGATACACCGTCACAACATTAAATTCATAAGTCTAGGTACCACTGCACTAATCTTACCAGAAACATGGCTGGAACAAATGTAGAAGCCTTCAAGAGGAAACTGGACAAGTATCTTCACCAGGTTCCAGATCAACCAGGCTGTGGTGGTTATGTGGGGCAGCAGGCCTCCAGCAGCAACAGCCTGGTTGACCAGGCAAGCACCAGACGAGACTGGCCCATGGCCGGGCTCCGAGAGTAGTGAAACTCTCGAAACTCTTCAAAGGTCAAAGGTATACTAAAAATACCTACTTGGAAGACTATCAGCAAACTAACTCTCAATATAGACAAAACATACTTCATGCTATTTGGAAAAAGAGATTTAAATGTATGGCTAAACATATTGATAAATGGTTCACCCATTTCAAGACACACACAGGACAAATTTCCAGCTCTTCACCTTGACTGCAGTCTCAAATTCCAGACCCACATACAGAAAATATCCAAGAAAGTCTCCAAAACAGTAGGCATCCTTTCAAAGATACAGTACTATGTAACCCAAATGGCTCTTCTTGCTCTTTACCACTCTTTCATTTACCCTTACCTCACCCATGGTATTTGTGCATGGAGCTCAACCACAGCAAATCATCTTAAACCTTTAATAACCCAACAAAAAGCTGCTGTGCGATTGCTTACCAACTCCTGCACTAGACAGCACACTCCACCACTTTTTAAGAGCCTTAACTTGTTTAATATGCAAAACATCCACACTTATTATTGTACCTACTACATACACAGAACATTATACAGGTCCATATCCCTTTATCCAAAACCCTTGGGGCCAGCAGTGTTTCGAATTTCAGAATTTTTCGAATTTCAGAATGAAGGTGGGGTCTAGGGCAGCACCCCATAATCAAACATTAACACTCCAGCAAAAACATATGAATGCTCACACTAAGTGGGATAGATAATGACTACAAATACTACTACGGCTAATTTATAAAATAATATACTGATAAATGAAATAATGGCATAATTATAGACCAGGAACATGCGTCTATGTTCTCAGCGAACAGCAGATGCATGTGTGAACACTACAAGCGCTGAGACACAACTGACGCCACTTTGGCTGTCAGTGCCACCATGTGGCGGTGTTGGAGTTATGTAGAGATGACTGATGCTCCACACATAAGAACATAAGAAAGAAGGACCATTGCAGCAGGTCTACTGGCCCATGCGAGGCTGGTCCAATTCTCCCACCGGCTTAAGCAAATGCTTAAACAGTCAGGTCAGGTCACATTCACTTAAGGTCATAAGAAAGGAGGAACACTGCAGCAAGCCTGATGACCCATACTAGACAGGTCTTTCACAATCTATCCCACTAACAGAACATTTGCCCAACTCAATTTTCAATGCTATCCAAGCAATAAGTTTTGATAATTCTATTTACTTATGTGCAAGTCCCACTCAAATCCAACCCCTCTCACTCATGTGTTTATCCAACTGAACATGTTTATCCAACCAAGGAAGCAACGCGGCATCTGACCTAGTAGCACAAGCTAGTCAGGTCTAGGCTAGGTAGATATTTTTAGCACGCTATTTACATCCCTTTTATTAATTCCTGTTTTCTATTCATACACCTCCACGAAAAAACTTCGATTTTCGGAACTTTTCGAACTTCAGAATTTCAGATAAAGGGATACGGACCTATACTCCAACATTAACCCTCCTATGAAACTCCTCCTTGATAACTACAACAGAACACACAGGCATAACACAAGGCACAAATCACCCTTCAATATCCCACGTGTCCACCTCTCATTATGCAAAAATGCTATGCAATTAACCCTTTGAGGGTTTTGGTCGTACTAGTACGTTTTACGCGTAGGGGTTTTTGACGTACTAGTACTCATAAATTCTAGCGGCCTCAAATCTAGTGGGAGAAAGCTGGTAGGCCTTCATATGAAAGAATGGGTCTATCTGGTCAGTGTGCACAGTCTAAAAAAAATCCTGCAGCACACAATGCATAATGAGAAAAAAAAAACTTTGACCATTTTTTTTTAATAAATCAGCGACTTTGCAGTGTATTTTCGTATGGTATTTATTGTTGTATTCTAGTTTTCTTGGTCTCATTTTATAGAATGGAAGACATATTACAGAAATTGAGATGATTTTGACTGGTTTTACAATGAAAGGTGCCTTGAAATTGAGCTCAAAGTAGCAGAAATGTTCGATTTTTACCAAAGTTCAAAAGTAAACAAATCATGCCAAGCGTGCAATACACGTCAACTGGCGAGTCTAATATTCTTTTACAAGTGCACCAATAATATTTATACCATTTTTTACACTAATGCAGTAGTCTGCATAACAGTAAATCTTATATTTTTTGTGAGAATAAAAATTCAAAGTGGAAAGCAAAAGAATATAAGAGGGTCCTTGAGACGTGACTAATGACTAGAGGAAATGTCATTTTAGTGCCAGGAATGTCTTTCTTGTTTATTCTGGACCCTATTCGGAAATTGGCATCTTTTGAAATTTGTGTGAAATTGGCAAAATTGCTAAATTCTGACCACTGTACTGGATAGTTGAATTTATAAATGGGTGGTTTCTTGCACCCATTCGATAGAAAAAATGGAGTTCTAGCGAAATATTCATGTTTTTTGTCGACTAGTACAGTGAAATTGGCCGAAAATTGGGCTCAAAGTGGGCAAAATCGCCGATGCGTAAACATCGCCGAGACCGCTAACTTTGCGAGAGCATAATTCCGTAAGTTTTCTATCAAATTTCAAACTTTTGGTGTCTTTATGATCGGAAAAAGATTCTCTATCTTTTCATAAGAGAAAATAATTTTTTTTTTTTTTTAAATTTGGCCGACCCTGAGAACGAGTTTCGGAGAGGGCCTGTCGACCCTCAAAGGGTTAAAGGGCCCGAAGATCTGGAATTCATTGCCAGAACACACTAAAGGGCCCCTGCCTGTAAATCAATTTAAGGCCCTACTTAGAAATTACCTCATCACCCAAAATTAACCAGACAAACACTATACTTAACACCTACCAATTACTCAAAAAACTTTTAAATAATTTATGACTGCTCAACTATTTAATCACTACTTCATACTTAAAAACTGTTTCAATTTCATTGTTTTAAATTTTGCTAAATTGTAACTGTATTTTTTACATACTATATCAAAACTGTAATTCTTCTCTATGTAACTTATTAAAGCTATATAGCACTAATAGAAAGTTTTTAAACTACCTAATAGTTTAAATGCAAGAGTTGATCAACATATTAAATTATGTGGTTACTCTACTGTGGAGAAATCGAGAGGACCCTATAGTGGTGTAGCCATCTTAGTTAACCCCTTCAGGGTCTAAGGCCAAAATCTGAAGTGGTGCTCCAGTGTCCAAGAAATTTTGAAAAAAAAAAAAAATTATTTTTTCTTACAGAATTAAAGAGTATATTTTTGTGAAGGTAATAAGACAAAAGACAAAAATTTCTGATCAGTACTTACCGAGACTCAACCCCTGCCAATTTGGATTTAGGAAAAATAAAAGCACTAATGATGCAATCATAAAAATGCTAGATCTGCTTTACACAGCATTGGAAAATAAGGAATATCCACTAGGAATTTTTATTGACCTAAGAAAAGCTTTTGACACAGTAGACCACGACATCCTACTCCACAAACTTGACCATTACG